ATGAGCAACATTTGTGGGTGTGGTTATATTGAAAGTTTTTGAGTAAATTGAGTTCGTAAAACACCTGCGGCGCAGCAGCGCGGAGGCGAAGCAGCAGCGGTAGTACTGAGAGGAGCGAGAGCAGAGCAGAGGGAGAGTGTTTTTTATTTTACTCACGAGGTCTTCAGTACCAGAGAAGTACTTGGTCTGGTACTGGCTCACTCAGAATCAGAGGAGGAAGACACGCAGGTGTCCAGTGAAGCAGACACGGACATTATTGGTGACGGGGAGACCGTGCCATAGAGTCCACAATCAGCCCCTGTACAGCGGCTGCTTGTCCTCCGTGTGGCCGCGGTAGAAGCATTCTGTGAACGCCAAGCAGGATCTGTGGTGGAGGGGACAGGGGCATCATAACACCAGGCATGTGGGAGAAAGTAGCGGGGGTAGACATCCACGGGGAACACGGGAGAAGTCGCGGGAGAGCCGCGGGAAAAAGACACATCGCTAATCGCGTTCACTGCCTCAGCGATGATGAGGATAAAGGCAGTTCTTGAGAGAAAATAATCCACAAAAGTGGACCAGAAGTGTTGAAGAGCCTGTTGTTTCTTGTTGAGACGATCTGACAAGTTCTGAGCCCATTCATTTCATCTCTCCGTTTCTAAACGGTAAATCCTGGAGCATCATTTCCACTGAGAAAAATAGTAAGCCCACTACTTCTCTGAAAGGGAAATATTGAAACCAATCTCAAGATTTCATGACTGTAAACTATAAAGAGTGCTGTCTTGATCACTGAAGGTCTTTGAAAATAATACAATTCCATATGGCCGCGAACCAGTGCTAAAACATTATGTATAATCTGGATCAGGGAATTTATTTCTATCCCAAATTCATTTCATACTAAAGATATTTCACATTGACTGTTTATAGTATTCCCTGATCTCAAATAACTCCCAATACTTTTTGAAGTCTTTATACAATAATTAACATTTTCCAAAATGGCCGCCACCTTGATGACGTCACCATATGCAAATTAGATGACGAATCAACTTCCATCCCGAAGTTTGGTTCAAACTGAAGATATTTCTAATTTACAGTATGCCTTTATCTCAAACCATTTTAAAGTTATAGCCTTTTGAAATCTTGAAATCAAAATTGTATATTTTCTTGAAAACTCTGGCGCCTAAAGGGTTAAGTGATGAGATAAAGGCTTTCTGTAAATTAGAAAAATATTAAGGATGGCCCAAAGTTTACGTAGGTAATAAATCCAGCCATCTAATTTGCATATTATGACGTCATATGGCATTAGAAATTGTGGATTTTATAATTTTCATTCAATATTTTTATTTTTCTAACTGACAGACATATTTTGATCCCTAGGACATGAACACAAACAGAACTCACACTGTAGCATTGTAAATGTTCAGGTAAAAAGTAAAAAATACAAATCATGGCACTGCTGTGAGCAGTCTGCCCAGACCAGTGGGGGTGGGTCCCGGCTCAAAAGTGGCCAAAATGACGTGCGCTGACATGCTTGCAATACCACCCCGGGCAGATGGAGGTGGACCCAGAAGTAGAATTAGCCAATGCTAACATATAGCATTGGCAGACCTATCAAAAACGTCTTTACAGGATTGTCCAAAAGCTCCGTTCCACATGTGTGTCAATGCTGAGGGGGGTGAATTTTTTTGGACCACTCTAGTTTGCTCTCTGTGAATTTTTGAAGTCTCTCGTTCAAATGAATGGAGCTCTCGTCAGCTGACGCATGCGCAGATGCGTTTTTTCATCTGCGGGCGGGACCACTTGCGGCCATTTTGGATAGCTCCAGTAGAGCACATTTTTGGCCCATTAGTTAGAACGGCTGAGATAGGCGTGACTACGTCCGGTAAGATATACAGTCTATGGCCCAGACGCGCGCCTGCAGGTGAAGCGCGTCACCGCGACTCTCCTACTGCTCTCTCCCCTGCTCTCTCTCTCGTCTAACAAACACATGACAAAGGCTTCTCCAAGTAAGTAAGTAAGTAATGTTTATTTATATACCGCCTTTCACAGACAATGGTCACAAAGCGGTTTACAATTTGGTTTTGTTATATTTTTATTTTTTTTTTTTGGGCATTTGTCCTCTCACTCCACACAGAGATGGGAGCGGGGTCGCCGAACAGGAGGCGCATGCCAGATCTATTGTACATATTTTTAGTGGTAGGGGAAACCGGAGTACCCGGAGGAAACCTACGCAGACACAGGGAGAACATGCAAACTCCACTCAGAAAGGCCCTGGTCCGACCGGGATTCGAACTCAGGACCTTCTTGCTGAGAGGCGAGAGTGCTAGCCACTCAGCCACCGTGCCTCCAACACGTTACTGTCCCGGTAATGACCGGGAGGCACGATAATACATCTGTGGGAGGAACTATTAGCGGAGAGTTTAGCAGAGGCTGGAATCGTGGTGCGGCGCCCCAACGCAACCTCAATGAAAGGCGGTATATAAATAAACCTTACTTACTTACTTACTTTTCATACCTGAGACTCTTTCTCGGATGTCTGCCTCTGTGATGGTAACTGAGTTCTGTTCTGAGAGGTGGCTGTGCTCCTCTCTCAGGGACACCAGCCATTGTGCACTTCTGTTATGTGCTGCATCCTTCTCCCATATGTTCTTCTGTTACAGAACTGTTCAGTTTCCAGCCATATATATATATATATATATATATATATATATATATAATATATTTATATTATATTATATTATATTATATTATATTATATTATATTATATTATATTATATTATATTATATTATATTATATTATATTTATATTATATATATAATATATATAATATAATATAATATAATATAATATAATATATATATATATATTATATTATTTATATTATATTATATTATATTATATTATATTATATTATATTATATTATATTATATTATATTATATTATATTATATTATATTATATTATATTATATTATATTATATTATATTTATATTATATATTATATTATATTATATATATATATATATATATATATATATAATATATATATATATATATATAATATATATATATTATATATAATATATATTATATATGCGGCCCGCCAAGAGATTTGATACGGCCCGCGGCACATTTATGTAAAATGACAATAATAATAAGAAAATAAAAATCCGTGCCGCGACGTGAGGCTCCGCGACGCTGCAGTGCCGCGCTCAGCAGCGAGTTGAGTTGAGTGCGTCTGTAGCTGGCTCCCACCAGAGCGGTGCTGAAGGAATAACATCTTAAAGTGCGAGACTCTGCGATACGGCACTTTGAGCGGAGAATTGAGGAGACAGAAGATAATCATGTCTGGCCCTGAAGACACAGCAGTCTGTTTGTGCCAAGAGCAAGAGGTTAGTGCTGCTGTAAAGACAGGCTACCTGAGTGCTAAAACATAGCATTAGCATCGCAGCCGCACAGTGAGGGAGAGTTTCTTTCTCAGCTGACATGGTCTGAGAAACCACTCGCTTTTACCAACATCATGTTGCCATTGATGAGAGATTTTGTTATTGATGTCGCATATTCATTTGTGGTGTTACTAAAACTATCAAAGAGGAATTATGAGCGCTGCTGCTGGTGCTGTTGTTGTTGGTGCTGTTGGACAGTGTGGACTGGTCCTGCGCTCTCAGCCCGGTACCAATGGTAAAGCAGGTGTTGTGACAAAGCCGCAAATGGAGGTGATGATTTTTGGACATTTGACTGTATTTTACACAGAGACACTGCTGCAGTCGTTAAGAATGGATCACTTTATGGAAGTTGTTTTGTTCCTTTCAACTGAATCATGGTCAGTTTGATGCTTTCTCTCTGATAATCCATAACCATGGACCTTACCACACTGAAGATGGTCAAGCTGAGGTGCTGTGTTAAATTGCTTTTTTCTATCTACCTACTTTACCTTTTCTATGTAATGAGCCTTAAAACAAAGCTAACATGTATTTATTAATATAAATATTGTGAAATTCCAATACATTACATTATTTGCACCATGAAAAACTCAAAGGACAGTGTTTTAAAGGAACTTTTATATAAATGTGTTTATGTACATAAAAAGTTGGACTTTGTACCGTTTTTGGGTATTTTTGTAGAGCATCTTCTGGTCTGGCCCACTTGAGATCCAATTAGGTCGTATTTGGCCCCCAGACCAAAAATGAGTTTGACACCCCTGCCATAGAAAGAAAGAGGGGGGGCAGGGTAAAGGGGGTCAAAAAGCAAGAGAAAAGAAAAACAAGACAATTACACATGTTACCTTTAAAGCGTGGGTCGAGTGCTGTAGCCAGCCTGAGCCATCCATGGTTGTGTGTACAGTATCTTGGAATTTAGACAGGTCCTTTTTAAAGGCACCCTTGAACCTCACCACATAGGCTGGGTCGTCATCAGAGACTTTCATGGTGTGGGTCAGGTGGCTGAGAGCAGGTAACACAACAGAGCATGAGACTTAAGTCTCACCCCCGAGGAGCTCAGTCACATATCTGCAGAGAAAAGTGATTAATTATTGTGCCAATTAATAGTAGATTAAAAACAGTAGCAACTTTATACTATAGTCATAATGATATTGATATTCAGTACAATAAATTTAGAAACAGTTGGCGGGTTTTTTTCCTGCATGATTTAAGGAGGGTCTCGAGCCTCTGCAGTCTGTCCCACTTCGCTGTAGTTAACATGGTGAGCTTGTGCTTCTGTTTAGCTAGAGTAACCTTCACAGCATCTTGGTTCTTTAGCAGACGAGAGATCATAAACAGTGTTGAATTCCAAACAGTGTTGTAAAAAAGATCCTCCGATTGGTGACTTCAAAACGTTTTCTGAAGAAGCTGCTGCAGGAGTGCAAAATACTAATGAGGAGACAAAGGAACTCTGGGACAAGTTAGATATATTTAAAACATATACTTTCTTTAGCTGTTGGAAAATCTTTTCTCACAGCTTTCATTTGAATTCTAAAATCCTCCTTATGATTATTTGTCTGTTCTTCCAACTACACTTTAGGTACGAGATAACCAAGGACGACGCCCTGGAGAAGGTGGCGGAGGAAATTGCATACAGGTTAAGAGAGCCAAAAACTGAGCTAATCGAGCAAGTGGTGGCCGTGGTGGGGACCAAGCAGGCCCTGGAGCTTTTGGAACAGACCGCTAGGCTGGAGGAGGCCGGTGGCATCTACACTCTGGACGGCAGCCGCAGACGTACGCCTGGAGGGGTCTATCTCAACCTTCTCAAGAACAGTCCCAGCATCAGCAAGTCACAGCTGAAGAGTATCTTTGTGGAGGAAGGCAGGCAAGAGGTCCGCGGCAAGAAGGCAGCGCAAAAGAGACGCAGACACCTGGTGGCCCGAAAGATGAAGCAGGCCATAGGCACACTCAACCTGCAGGAGCACAACGACGAATCCAGGTAGTTCCATTTTCTGTTCACGTGTGGGAAGCACAATGTTGAGTTTAAAGTAGGGGTGTTACGATTCTACAAATCCACAATTCGATTTTATTTTAATTTTAGAATCATGATTTGATTCAATTCTCAATTTCTTTTCTTTTTCTTACAGCACACTGTAGCGTACTGTAGCATGGCTCAAGTACGCTAATTCAATTTTTAAATCCAGCGTTTTCCACCACCAAATAAGGTTGCAGATCTGCTGCTATAAATAATCCTGTCAATCAAAATGTATGCATCATTTATACCAGGCCTTGACATAAAGCTTTGTCAGCCACTTGCCTAGCTTGGTCGTACCACCCCATAGTACAAATTAAATTTCATACTAAGGTCTGGAGGCGCTCCACTGAGCTCCGTTTACAGGTGGGAGGGGTTAACTCCTTTTGCAGATTGAAACGATTGGATCTGAGTTAGGGATGTAAAAAACTATGAATTTTCATTACCGACCACCGAGCCTCATTAACCGGTTGAAACCGGTTAACGGCGTAGTTTAAAATATTTCACGTTCTCTGAAATAACAGCCATTTCGAGCCGCGTACTTTTCATAAGTGTATATATGCGTTCTACTGGATCAGAGCCTAGACAGCGGCGCCAAAACCCGCAACAGCTTCGGCACCTTTGCACACAGAGAACTGCTTTTTTAATCTTCCTATTCTTCTGTGCTGCGGGTTAAAACTTTGGAGCAGCAAACAACGGCTCGTTGACATGGTCAGAGCAGCGAGTGACGCGTCTCGCAGGTCTCCGCTAAAGTTTAAATACAAGTGATGTGTGTGGAGCTGATCTGATGACAAGGACCATCAGCACAAACATGTTTCATGTGTTACGTATTTGCGAGGATCCTCCGTGACACAGAGGAGCACGACAGGCCGGTATGTGTGTACATCAGTGTACGTGTGTGTATGTATGTGTAAATGTAAGCTCCAATGTAGTTCAGTGTGCAACTTTGGCGGACTAGTAACAGAGGGGCGAGATGATGCGTGTGGATGTTAAGTATCAATGGTGTGTGTGCGTGTGCGCGTGCGTGCGTGCAAAGTTGGCCCGGAGTTTACTGATACATAGGCGCACACAGCTAGAGATGGACCCGCTCGTCACACAGTGCAAATAGGGCTTAAAATAGCGTTATTAAGAGACCTCCTAGCCAGCTCCTTATATTGCATTTTTCGCCATTGCCAAACCGCAAACTCTTGACGTCACCCACAACTAACTTGTCTTCCGCACTCTCTTAATGGTCGGTTGAAATTCAACCGATTGTAATCGCTAACATAGGGACTAGACCCAGACATTACATGCAGTGAAATTATGATTGAACGAAGTGTTCGGATGGCTAAGGCCAGGCTACCACTTGCCCTTCGGGCAAGCACCATTTATATTTTACTTGCCCAATGTCAAAAGTTACTTGCCCAAATATTTCTCAATACAATAAGTTAACAAGAGTTTGGCAATAAAGTGGCATTAACTGTCTGGAAAAAAAAATCCACACTCAGGCCAAAACGTCAAATAATGACTCACTTAAGTATGCTTAATTGAAAACAAGACTCCTGTCGTGGTGTGTTCCTTTTGATTTTTTCACAACATTTTACTTTTGTGCCCAACCAACATGCATTTTTAATGCAAGAGGAGATTTAGGCCCTCAATTTTGTGAGTTTTGGTTGCTCATAGCTACGAGACACGGGGGAGACCTGCACTTGCAACAAGCTGGAGATGGTCCTGAACGGGCGTCTATGGTCCTGTCCCCGCGTCTATGGTCCTGTCCGCGCGTCTATGGTCCTGTCCGCACATCTTTGGTTTGCGCTCGATACCATGTTACGCCTGTGTGGTCGTTGAGCTGTTGCCAAAGCGGCTGTCGTTATAAAGTGGCCGCAGCAGCGCCCGGGGTCAGAGCGTAGGATGTAAATCTCGTACGTACAACAAACAACAGAAAGTTCCTGCGGTCACACATTTCACTATAATGACATTGTGAGCGGAAAACAGTCGAGAATTGCGGATTCGTGGAAAATGTTGAAGAGAATTGGTCAACAACAGATAGTCGGATGTATCAGCTCCCTGCTCCATGGTAAGAAATGTCGGGAATGTGTTAAATTGACCTCCTGGCCTTAAATGTTGATTCATTTTATTAATTCTAATATTACGGGCAAGTCCCGCCTTCCCTTCTCTTAGCTATAGTTCAAAATCCACGATGCCGTCCACGTTAACCAATCGAGTCATGCCAAGGGCTGTCAATCATCGGCGCTAATACTCGCGGAGCCTCCGAGTCAAGCCTCTATTAGGCTCTGGAACTACATGAAAACTGAACAAAGAATTCTGAACATCCGCGCTGAGGTACTTATGTATATACTGAACCTATATCCATAATCAGATCCTCTGCAGGTGTGTCCTATAATGTGCAATTCCGGGTTTGCCGGGATCGCTTTTTTTGTGCATAAAAACATTATTTTTTTGTGCATAAAAACATTATTTTTTTCATTAAAACGTTAACAAATCATTCTGAAAACCTCCGTGCATGTGTATTAATAATGTATATGTATAATGTGTTCTCTGATTAACAATTAGAAGTGTTACGGAAACGTAGGTGTAGACCAATCAGAAAGGAAGGGGGAGGGAGCTTGCGTCGTTTTTTTCAAATCAAGTACCTCTCTCTCTCTCTCTTTCTGACAAACTCCAGACAATCACTTTAACGGCCTGAATGGGTTAAAGTAATACATCACTTGCTACAACAGCGCATTTGCCCGTCCCAAATCTTTAGTTGCCCTGGGCAAGCGGACAACCGTTAATGTCGTCCTTCATAAACTCCCCTGGCTCCCCATCAAACAGCTCATCCATTTCAAAATCCTCCTCATCACCTACAAAGCACTACAAAGCGAGCAATGACCTCGCTCCTCCATACCTCACTGAACTTCTACAGCCCTACAGTCCGTCCCGTCGACTTCGATCTGCAGACTCACATCTCCTCACTCCCACTGTCAAATCCAAACACCAAACCTTTGGGGACCAAGCTCTCGCCATCTCTGCTCCCGCTCTCTGGAACCCTCTCCCCCCATATCTCAGAAACTCTGACTCACTAAACTCCTTCAAAAAAACAGCTAAAAACTCACCTCTTCCTCCAAGCATATGACTCGTAGTTTCAACTTTATTCTCTTCCTTCTTGCTTTTAGATTTTTAGTTTTGTATGTCTGTCTAAACGTGTGTGTGTGTTCTGAATTGTGAAGCGTCTTTGAGTTTTTGAAAAGCTCTATATAAAACCGATGTATTGTTATTATTATTATTAATGTCGAGCCCTGTTTATACTATAGCTGGTTAGGGCCTATCCCAGACATGGGCAAAATACGGCCCGATGTACCTTTTCTGGCATTTTTTGCACTGCTTTGACGCTTCATTGTCAATTCCGTGTCACGTTTGCACAGCCCCTCATAGCTGTGTGTTTGCGGCTATGTGAGGGCATTCGCCAGATATGATCGTTCACATGTCATTCGCCCTTAACAACGTCCGCTCATGATAAACAAAGAAAGGTAGATGCGGAATGGAGGATTTGTAACAACAATTACACTGCTAAGTAGTTACTGTAGAAGTCAGAAATAAGCTGTGTGCTTTGTTTGCGGGGAGCAGACCCCGTGTTTAAGGAGTACAACGTGGGTCTGCACCAGACGAAGCAGAGAAATACAGAAACCTGAATGATGGTGAAGTGGCACAGTAGCTGCGCTGCAAAAGTAACAAGACTTTCACAACAATTGTAAACCGCTTTGTGACTCTGGTCTGCGAAAGGCGGTATATAAATAAAGATTACTTATTTACTTCACCAAACGTTTGCATTCGCATTCAGGGGTGCAGCAAGCTAGTTCATCTTTGTGATGTCACACACAATCGCTAAAAACTTTTTTTCAAGTCCAGTGATGTTTAGTGACAATGAAATAGGAATGGTTGTTTGTTTGGAGCACAAAGACAATATTGTAGTTTCCTTATGGCACTTTCACTGAGCATGTTCACTAATAAAAGCCTATGAATCACACTACTTGAACCTAGCCCGACTCTCGCCAGACCCTTGTAGTTCGCTAAGCTTCACAAAAGGGTCTGGGTCAAGCCCCGGTGATCCAAGATAGCGCCCTATTCAAATAAATGGCTTATGCTCAGTAGCGCATGGGACATCACGGGCGCTGACATATTAGCGGAACTCGCCTATATTTGGGCATCGTCTGGTCCTCCCGGTTTTGCGCAGTGGATGAGCTCCCATGATGCATTGGGCCAAATAAACGTGTGTGGCTCGGCCATGCTTTGACCAATCAGTGCTGCTGATCAGAGCAGCGGTAGAGCGGAGCCAGAGCGGGAAGGAAAACCGAAGGATTTAAGAAGGAAAAAAGTTCTGGATGACAAGGGACACTCAAATCCCCACAAAATGCGATCTTTATGAAAGCTGTAGGTTCTCTGTCAGCTGAGGTCGAGGTGTTTTAGTTTACATTGAGATTTATAGGGAAAGTTTCTGGGTAGCCCATGCAAATTCAGTCTGCAGTACCACGGGCACCCCCTTGCCCATGGGTGGGACAGCTATAAGCTAGTAATACCCTATCCAGTGGTCTATGGTCTTGGTCTGCTTCATAGCGGATGAATTTCAGAAGGTTGGGCCTTGTCAAAAAATCCTTGTTTATGATTGTATAAACCACTTGTCTGTTATCTTGAATGACGTGTTCCTTCAACCACTCACATGAAAGCACACGATTTCTCACTGCGTTGCAGGGTTGCCAAATGCCTGTTTTTTGTCTTTCTATTACTTAAAAGTTGGTTGGAAAAAAAGTACGCAGGAAACCACCCAACCTGGCAATCCTGCTGCGTAGTGTTGTGACATGAGCATATAACCAGTACTTAAACCAAACTTTACACAAAAATTTTATTCTTAAAACACACATAAAACAGAACCATCAACATCTCGCCTCAAATTGCATTAAAAGTGACATCTATGTCTTAATTCGTCCGGC